GGCTTTTCCATCACGACTGCAGAAGTGGCCTAGGCGAGGCCAGTGCCAGCCCCACAGAGGGCCCAGGAAGCCAGGGGCTCGATAACATTGCTGAGGGCTGAATCGAACTCGTCCTGAAGCCCACACATGCTAGGTCCTCCACTGACTCACAAGAACCATAAATGTGCTCACGGTCTTGGCCTGAACAAGATGACCGTCTGCTAGGTATATAACCTGCAAGATGTACCCGCCAGGCAATGGGGACATACTCAGCCAAACAATACCTACGTGTACTTCAACCACTGACAAACATCTCGTGGGAAGCTCGAGGCATTCAGATAAATGCGGGGGAGTTCCTGAGGCCTTAACTGTTGGTCAGTCTCGCTATCATCTTTCCTTTCAAGTTTAGGGGCCGGGGTCAGGCAGGATAGATCCCAGTGTACGCCCACGCTGCCATTTGAAAATAAGAGCCCTCTCCCCCACCGTCCATCAGGTTGCAAATCTGGGGTGTGGGAAACTGCCACCCATGGGCCAAATGTAACCTCCCCCTGTATTCTGTAAATAAAGTGTGGCTGGAACATGAGCTATGGACGGTCTGTGGTTGCTTTCAAGCCACAATGCAAGAGTGGAGTCATCGTCAGAGAGACCACGTGGACTGCAACGCCTAACAGAAAATCTTTACAGAAGACTTTACGGAAAATCTGTGCCGATCCCTGTTCTAAAAGGTAATATTATCATGTCACTCCTTTGAGTAGAATGTAGTGCCTTCTGGGTAAAATCTAATTTCTTTACCCCCACAGGCAAGGACTTCCATTGTTTTAGCCAGAACTGCATATCCATCCTCCTCTATTTATACCTTTAATGGCACATCTACATGTCTGCAGCCCAGTGTGATTCACTGCAGTTTACATGGTACTGATGCTCAGAAACGGAGGTGTAAGTGTGAACGTGTGAGTGTGAGCATGTGTTGACTCTTTGTTAGCCACGGTATGCGAGTAGAACACAATACAGTAGCGTGCTTTCTGTCTCACAGTGACGGCCACATTATGTGGTTACCTAATGACATCAGAAGGAATCCACCTTCATAGAACAAACTTCGTCTGGGAAGACTCTCAAATCCCTTGTCCTGGGCCCTATGCTCCACCGCGGCTGGGGGCACACAGAGGGACAGAGACTCACCCTGCCCATCAGGGTTTTGAAGGATGCCTACGGTTCCAGGACAAAAGATCCCGAAACCAATTACTTACCTGTCATCCAGCCAGGCAGCTGTGAGAGAGATCTACTCGTAGCAGAAAGGACAGAACGAGAGACAACAAATGACAACATGGAGTGACAAGTGCCACTACAGAGGACGCTCAGGAGGACTGGGGTGTGCAGGGTTGGCCAGAGCAGGGGCAGGGGGACCAGGAATGCTCCAGGAGGTTGATCACAGTTGTGTCCTTGCATGGCTACACGTGTCAGTGTGACTGGGCATTGGCCAGACAGGAAATGACAGGGCCGGGGGGGG